ACTCAGCAGGTAATGTACTCCAGGATCACCCATTTTGTATATTTCATGAGTTCCTTGCTTTTCAGTGCGGCATAGTATTCCATTGTGTGAATATACCACAGCTTCTCTATCCATTCGTTTGTTCATGGGCACTTGGGTTCTTTTCATTTCTTTCCTATTGTGAATAAGGAAGCAGTAAACATGGATGTTCATATATCTGCTTGGGTGACAGTTCTGGTTTCTTTTGGGTATATTCCCAGTAGTGGAATTGCTGGGTCATATGGTATTTCTATTTACAACTTTTTAATAAAGTGCCATACTGCCTTCCATGGTGGTTGCACCATTTTACACTCTCACCAACAGTGAATAAGGGTTCCAGTTTCTCCGCAACCTTGCCAGCATTTGATGTTTGCTGTTCTGTTAAATTTTGCTATTCTTACTGGGGTGAGATACCTCATAGTTGTTTTGATTTGCATCTCCTAGAGCTAGGGATTTTGAACATTTCTTCATGTGTTTGTTTGTCATCTGAATATCTTCTTTAGTGAAGTGTTGTTCATATCCTGTGCCCATTTTGTGATTGCTTTACCTTTATCTTGTTGTGGTACTCGAGTATTCTATAAATTATAGATGTAAGTCCCTTATCAGACAGGTCATTACCAAATATTTTTTCCCAGTCTGTAGTTTTCCTTTTTACCCTGTTGGAGAAGTTTTTGGATGTACTTAGAGATTTGATTCTTAGAAGGTCCTATTCATCTATTTTATCCTCTCCTGGTTGTAGGTTTTTCATGATGCTTGAAAGACTGTTCATGCTGTGGATTAAGGCTTCTAGAGTTCTTCCAATCTTTGACGAAGTTTATAGTCCTTGGTTTTATTCATAGGTCCTTGATCCATTTTGAGTTGGTTTTTGTGTACACTGTGAGGTATGAATCTTGCTTGAGTTTTCTGCAGATAGTTTTCCAATTTTGCCAACACCATTTGTTAAAAAGGCTGTCTTTTCCCTACTAAACTGATTTCATCTCCTTTTCAAAAATCAATTGACCCTAGTGGCAAGAAGTTGCACTGCAATCTTAGGGTTACGTAGTTCGAATCCTCCAGATGCTGTGCTGGAGAAGCAGGAGCAATCTTCTCCTGTACCAGTCAGATTCGATTTGACGGTACACACACACAAAAATAATAAAATAATTAAAAAAAAATTTCTTACTTAAAAAAAAGGAAGAAAAATCAGTTGAGCATAGGTAGATGGGTTCTCAGTTCTATTCCATTATTCTGTGTGTCTGTCATTGTACCAGTACCACACTGACTTGACCACCACAGCAGTGTAGTAGGATTTAAGATCAGGGATTGAGATACCTCCTACCTAGCTTCTCTTTTTAAGGAGTTCTTTGCTTATGTGGGGGTCTCTTTTCATTCCAAATGAAATTGAAAATGGCTTTTTCCATCTCGTTGAAGAATGGAATTGGAGTTTGTATTGGGATTGCATTGAACATGTAGATTGCCTTTGGTAAGATTGTCATTTTCACAATATTGAGTCTTCCTAACCAAGAGCAGGAATATTCTTCCATTTTTCCAGGTGGGTGACTTTAATCCGTGGCCCTCAGGCCTGTTTTTAATTATTTTTGGTCAAACATTCTTCTACATCGTGTAGCCTTGGTCTGCTGTACAGAGATAACTTGTGGTTGCTGTGAAGATGAACACTCTGACACTGATGTGTCAAATGCAATCATGGTGGAGCTTCTCGATTAAAACAAGCTTGGAAGCAGGAGTGGCATCCACTTCCAAAATAGCTTGCCTCTGGAAACCCTGTGAACCTGGAGAAAGGATGAAAGTTATACAAGCGTTCAGGTCTTTCATTCATCGGATTGCTGTGAATTCCCGATGACTCCAAGGCACTTTAACAGCAGCAACAACGACAACAACAACAACAACGTTTTGTAATTTTCTTTGTATAGGTCCTTTGTGTTTCTAGTTAGATTTATGCTCAAGTATTTAATCCTATGATTAGCTATTGTGATGGATATTCTGCTTTATTGGTGCATTTAGTCCATTCACATCACAAGTGTGATTATTGACAGTTTTATCATTCTCATTTTGCTGTTTCTTTTTTTGTTGTTTCTGATTCCTGTGGTGCCTCTACTTTTCTTTGGTGTCCTAAAATTCTTGTAAAGTTGGTCTTATTTTCACAAATTCTTCACGTTTCTTCTTTCCGTCACATGGTCTAATTTCTCTATCATAATTGATGGCCAGCTTTGCTTGATAAAAGATCTTTGGTTAGCAGTTGCTTTCTTTTTACTTTCTGTGTATGCTAGCTCCTTGTGTTCTAACTCACATGGTTTCTTCTGTGAAATTGGAGCTTAATATAATTGTTTCTCATTTGTAGGTGACTTTTTGTTTTTCTTGTGCTGCTTTTAATATTCTTTCCTTGTCTTTTATTTTGGAGAATTTGATTATGATATGTCTTGGAGTTTTGTTTTTTGGGTTTTTTTAATCTAATTTATTTAGTGTTTGCCACGCTGCTTGAATATGTATTTCTCTATTTTTTATAATACCCGGGAAGTTTTCTTTTAGTACTACTTCATGATTTTCTCAGTGATTTCACTGTCCTTCTCATGTTCTTGAATTCTAGGCATCGAATGTTGTTCTTTTGACGTTATCCCACGTGATTCTAATGTTTTCTTCTTATCTTTACATCTCATCTCAGATTATTCTTTGTGTCCATTGAGATTTTTGTCTTCCAGCTTACTGACTTTCTGTTCCATCTCTTCTGTTCTACTTTTTTCCAGTGTGTTGTACAATTTTGCCATGTGTTTCTTAATATTATGTGTTGCATTTTCATACATTTCTGTTATTTCCAGTATGGTGATAATGATATCCTCTCTGTCTTGTGAAGATTTTTAAAGTTCTTGTACCTCTTTGGCTATAGTTTCAATTCTTCCATCTTTTGCAGTTTCTTCTGTAGTTCAAATTTCCCTGTGTTGATATATTTGTTCTCATTCTCTGTCTCTGGAGTGTTTGCTTTCTTACTGGCTTCCATTTTTTCTTGCATCACTTGTACTTCTGTAGCTGTTGAGATAAATCTACATCAGTATATTTCTTCTGGTTTTTTGTGTCTCAGGTACTCATTGAGTCTGTAATATGCTCTGCTTTTTTTTTTTAAAAAAAGGCTTATTTTGGTTTTTTCATAATGTTTGAGGCTTCCTGCTACTTTCTTGAAATTTTATGAAGCTTTTCTTGGTAGATGTTAGACCATTTTAATTGTGTAATGACCCAGGGGAGGGTGATGTTTTGTTAGCATCCTGTATATTAGTGCTCCCCTTCTTGGCTTTAGGACTGCAGGCCTGAGAGCCTGAAACAGAATGAGTACCTGGGTCAGAAGCACCTTCACTTGTGCAGTTGAGCAATGCAGTATTCTGAATTTTATTTTCATGCATTTCTGTTAATTTAGTACTGTGTTGTCTGTATCCTCTCTAGCTTGTGATGATTTTTAAAGTTCTTGTATCTCTTTATAGTCTCACTTCTTCTTCCATCATTTGCAATTTCTTCCATAGTTGTTCAGAAGAATCTTGTCCGGTGGATTGTCTGATGGGAAACTGTGGTAGCTACAATGGGTGTTCCCTTGGCTTACGAAGATTTAAGCCTTCTCCATAGAGTTGTAATTTAGGAGGGCTCAAGGGCAGAAATACCTGGGTCAGAGAGCTTATGGCAATAAGTTTTTATAGTATACATTAAAAATTCTTTCATAAAACAATTCATTACATCAGTCTGGACTGAATAATTTGAGTTCTTTTTTCTTTGTGTTAGAGGAACCTTAATATTTGTAGAATGATGTCTTTGCTATGAAGAACCAAAGTAACTGTGAATCTGTTTTACTGTCCAGTGTCATTAAAAAATATGATGCCTATGCCCCAGCTCCACTGCCACCACTATGTGTTCCCCATTGTAACTTGTCCATTAAATGCTATAGCAGCAGAATTGAGATACCAAACTCAGACACAAACCAGAAATTTCCCAGCCCCACCCACTAGCTCATAGAAGATGTTCCCAGTGTGAAATTTTGCTATCAAAGCCTTGAAGTCCTTGGTTCAAAATAAATCCCCCGCCACCCTGAATGGCAGAAGCTACTCCCTAGAATAATTAGAAAAACTGCTAACAAGAAACTCTTTTAAATGACACGTACCAAATAAGTGTTTTGAGGTAGTTGAAGGCTTTTGTTTTCATTTTTCTTTTGGCCTGGTTTTTCTAGAACTTTTGTAACAAAATACTACCAACTAGGTGACTGGAAACAATGGACACTTACTCTTTGACAGCTCTAAAGGATGTAAAGAAGCCTTCATTGCCTCTTCTGGTTTCCCTACAGTCCTTAGTATTCCATGGGTTGCAGACATGTCACTCGTCTTCATATGACTGTCTTCCCTCTCTATGTTTCTATCCAAATGTCTTCCTCCTTATGAGGACACAACAAGTCATGGCATAAGGTTAAGTCCTTGACTGGTTACTAGAGGTGATAGTTTGAACTCATCTACCTGCTCCATAAGAGAAAGACCAGATGTTTTTATCTTGTAATAATTACACCCCAGAGAGCTAAGGCAGTCTCTGCTCTTTCACATTAGATTGCTGTGAGTTAAAATCTACTCCATTTTGTTGCTATTAGTCACTGCCAAGTTGACTCATAGAGACCCTTATAAACAGTGGTTCTGAACCATGCCCTATCTTGCACCATCTTTTTAGTACCTGCAATAACAACATAGTAAGAACACCAGCTATTGAATTTAAGGCCTACCTTAATCCAGTATGACTTTATTTTTATGTTACTGTATTTGTAAAACTTTATTTCAAATAAGTCACAGTCACAAGTAGTGAGAGTAAAGACCTCAACATACCTTTTCGAAAGACATACTGTAATACACCACTATGTATTTGAATTCCTGTTTCATGCTTTCTCTTTTTTAACCTTTTGTAGGTTTGATAACAGTTATTAGAAGCATGCTCTCCTCTGAAGGTTTGGACACCATTTATTATGCAGAATGTCTCTGAATGAGAATGAGGTTTTTGCCTATGAATCTACTGTGCATAGCACTAGTGTCTTGCTCAGCCTCAATGACCAGCGAAAGAAGGATGTCCTGTGTGATGTCACTATCATTGTGGAGGGCCAGCAGTTCCGCGCCCACCGGGCTGTGCTGGCGGCATGCAGCAGTTACTTCCACACAAGAATCGTAGGCCAGGTGGATGCCGAACTTACCATTACTCTTCCAGAAGAGGTGAGAGATCCATGTTATGTTTTTAGTAATTTTAATTGAATTCAGTCTTACCTAGTTTATAAAAATAAAACAAGCTGTCTTCTTATTAGCTCTGTGAGAAGTAGTTGCCAGGTTTGATGTTAGCACATTTCTTTTGCTTTTTTTGGTAGAAATGATTAATTTTACAATCATCATTTATTTTAGCTGTTAGTAATATTGTTTTTCAGCATTGCTTTCATGTTGTTTTTGATAAAAGATTAAAGCAAAGCCTATCCAATGGATTAAAGATTTTGGAAAGACCCTGCTTTGAGGAGAGTATACTGCATGCAATCCTATCCTCCTGATGGGAGAAGAGAAACATATTAGATTCTGGTTTTTGTGTATCTGAGACATCTTTTATATATATTAGTCCCTTTATGTTTCCTTTCTTTCTTGAGATTGTCTTTATGCATTGGTAGATAAGGAGATGATTTTATGTCATATTTCTACAACTTTGTTTAATATACATCTTTTCCCTACCAGCTTGTTGTGAAGTCTATGCTCCTCAATACCAGACTTACTCTTGTACCTGGGAGTGCTGGTTACACGGACTCGTAACTAAAAGATCTGGCTTTGTTGAGTTAAATAACTGTTACTAGAAGAATGTTGAGCCTTATAACATTGGACCACTAATGAAAACTTAAGAGGATTATTAGAGAAAGTGTGTAGAACTTTATTATTTATATAACAGATGTTGGTTAGGTCCTAGCTTGTCACTGGACAAGCCTACTTGCATGAATTACAAGATAGTTACTATTTTGGAATAGGCCACTTGGTCATCAGTTTTATGGCAGGAGCCAGAGCAAATGATGCAGAACTAAGTAGATGAAATGAAAAAAAGTCCACCATACATTCATTTATCCTTTATTTTTGAAAATTAACAACATATGGAGATATTTATTATGATCTATATTCTTTTCAAATTAATGACACTTTCTAGGTAGCATAAAATTTGATTGATGTTAGATAGGTAAGGTTTTGTCTCTGTGTATTCATTCTTTCATGCTAACTTGGAAAACAAACTTTAAAACATTTGAAGTATTTCATAATCGTAGCAGATTACTTGTTTTATGATGCTTTTTTGATAAATTTAATATATTTTTTAAATGAAAAAAAATTATATTTTTGTGTGTGTATCATCAAATCAGATCTGACTGGTACAGGAAGGGATTGCACCACTTTCTCCGGCAGAGCATCTGGTGGATTCGAACCGCCACTAGGCCACCAGAGCTCCCTGACAAATTTAATATATTTTAAAAAATTTTAATTGATATTTCTATTGCTAGTTGTAGATTCACATGCAGTTGTAAGAAATAGTACAGAAAGTTCTCTGTGCTATTTGCCTAGTTTTCCCCAATGGTAATTTTCCAAGATTTTGTATATCTTCACAACTAAGAAGTTGATACTAATACAATTCCCATATTCAGATTTCCTAAGTTTTACTTGAATTTGTAGACACATGTTCTTTGCAGTTTTATCAGCTGTGAAACTTTCTGTGTCTATAATCATAGTTACTGAACAGTTTCAGTATCATAAAGGCCCCTTTATAACCATGTTCACTTTCTTCTAACCTCCTTACTCTGCCTTAGAAATCATTATTCTTATCCTCCACTTCTAAAATTATGTATTTCAAAAGTGATTTTGAACTGACAATTCCCTTTTGAGATTGCTTTTTTCCCCACAATATAATTTCTTTAAGATCTATCCAAGTTGTGTATTGAAATAATTTTGTTCCTTTTTGCAACTAAGTAGTATTCCATAGTATAAATAATTTGTTTCATCATTCATCTGTTGAAGGATACAGGGTTGCTTTCAGCTTTTGTTTGTTATAGATCAAGTTCCACTAAATATTTGTATACAGTTTTTATGTGATTCTCTACCATAAAAGCTGAGGAGTACAAGTAGAATAGTTGTCTTCGGGTTCTGTAATTCACTACAATTATCTTAACAGAACTCATGAGCTGTCAGGAAATGGCTCATGTAGTGGTAGGGACTGGTACACTAACTTCATAGGTCCGGTGTTAATAGTCTCATGGCTTCTTCTGGTCTCAAGGACTGGTGAACCTAAGTTAGCAGGTCAGATGACAGGCAGCTGGCTCACAAGGCTATGTAAACTAGTAAATCAGGTTACATGATAGGCTTCTCTCTCTAGTTCTAAGAATTGGTGGTCAGATGATGATGATGCAGGCTCCAGAGCAAGAGAGAGAACATTCAAAGTATTCATATGTATTAAATAGAGACTCTTGTTGTTATGTGCAGTCATGTTAGAAATGACTCATAGCTGACCATTAAGTGGGTTTTCACTCATTATAAATTACATAGGACAAGATTGCCCATATTTCTTCCTCAGAGTGGCTGGTGAATTTGTACTGCATACATTTGAGATGGCAGTTCAGCTTCTTACCACTAAGCCGCTGTTGTTGTTCTCACTGTGTACCATAGAGTTAGAACCGACCCTAGCTGGTCCTTCTGGTGTGTTTTAAGAGGCAGTTAATCGCATGGGAGGAAACTGTGCATCTCTCTCCCACAGAGCAGTGGGTGGCCTTGAACTGTGTACCTTCAGTATTTCAGTGCAGCTTCTTGCCACTAGGCCACTCGAGGTCTCTAAATACGAACCATACTTTCAAAGAAACTCCTATTAATTGAGAAATGTGGTGCCAGAGTATATCTTAAATAAAGGTAAAGGGATGTGTATGTGTGTGAAAGTGATAATTCATGGTAAATCTCGTTCTAATCCTATGTCATTAGCTTAACAGACTGCACAGAGAAATAGAGAATATCCAAAATGAAACTGAGAATAATTACATGTCATGGATCAGAAAATAATTACAACAGATCACAAGCTAAGGGGCAATTATATATATTCATTGTAATGTAGTCAGAACAACTCATAACTGACCCTCCAGTAGGAATTTGGAGGTTATAAATTTCATGGAAGAAGATCTTTCTCCTAAGGAACCACTGGTGAATTTGAACTATAAAAAACATACTACCTTTTTGGTTACACACTCCTTACGGTTATGCCACCAGAGCTCTGAACAATTCTACCATTACCTATGTAAAATGAATGAAAAATATGTCATAACTTAGCCAAGTTGACATATAACTTTAACCACCACAAATTCCATATATGTCATTTTCATTGTTTTAGTCAGTCATTGTGTAGGAATAACAAAGACTAGATTTGTTGTTGTTATATACTGTTGAGTTGCCTACGACTCCTAGTGACCCTGTGCACAATAGCTCAGAACCCTGCTCTATCCTGAGCCAGTCTTACTGTCTCTGACACACCTCTCCTCATTACCCCAGTTATTGTGTCAATCCATCTCATCCTATGTCTTCTTCTCTTATACTATCCATCGACCTTTCCATACATGCTATCTTTTCCAAAGACTGGTCCCTCCTGGCTACAGACCCAGAGTATTTGAGATGGAGTCTCAAAATCCTTACCTTCAGTGAGCAGCTTGGTTTCACCCTCTCCAGGATAGATTTGTTAGTTCTCTTGGCAGTCCATGGTATGTTCAATACCGTTCTCGAGCACCACAGCTCAAAAGCATCAATTCTGCTCCTGTCATCTCAAATCATTGTCCACCTTTCTTGTGTATAGCAAGTAATGGCAAAGATCATGGTCTTCATCAGGCACACTTTAGTCTCTAGGCTGACATCTTGCTCTTCAGCACTCTGGAGAGGGCTCTGACAACAGATGTTGCTAATGGAGTTTGTCTTTTGATTTCCTGACTACTGGTGCCAAGAATGTTGATTGTGGGACCGAGCAAGCTGAAATTGTTGACAGTCTCTATCTCTTCTTCATCTATCATGATGCTTTCAGTTGGCCCAGTGGTGAGAATCTTTGTTTTATTGATTTTAAGTTTCAACCATATTGCAGGCTACAGTCTGCAGCAAATACTTCAGGCCCTCCCTAGGACTAGAAGTACTGTATTAAGTAATTCACCGTTCTGTCCCACTTCAAAGTGGTTATACTAGTTTATATTATTACCAGCAGTGTATGAGTGATCTCATTGCTCTGTCTTCATCATTCAGTGTTGTTGTGTTCACTTTTATTTTTTTCACTTTAGCTACTTAAAAGTTAAATACTCATTGATTGACATAGGAGAAGTTAACAAGTAATATCTTTCATTAACTCATGTCCTAATTTTTTTACACTTAATACTTTTTAAAGATAGGAGACTTTTCTCTATAATTCAGTAGGTTCTACTTGCTCCTGCCTTTGCAGAGTTTGGCCTGATGTAGATATACAGGTTTCTGCCTAAAGTTTTGTTCCTTAGAATACATGAATCTTTGCTGAACCTGGATAAGAATGATTTTTAGAACTTCATGTAGATCTCTTTTTATAAAGATCTTTTGTTATTGTTGTTGTTATGTACCATCTAGTCATTTGCGACTCATAGCGACCCTATGTACGAGAGCGCTAAACACTGTTGCCAACCTAGCCATCTCAAACACACTTATTCCCACCGCTCCAGTCACAGACTCGATCCATCTCATCGAAGGTCTTCCTATAACAGTTTTATTATTAGAGATTTTTGGCATGAAATAAAGATAACAGTTTCAATTTATTTTGCATTTGCTATAGAGAAGGACTACATTGTAGATATTTTACTTACACTGTGTCCTTAAAAAACCCATTTTTGTTTTAATATTCACAGTTGGAAGTGTTTAGAATATGATGCCCACATGGAGCGAGGCTAGCAGCAGTTTGTACTACTTTCATAGCTAATTTATCTTAGCTAATGTCTGCTGTTAGGGACCTCTCCAAAGTGCTGAAGAGCAATGGTGTCTTTTTGGAGACTAAGGTGCATCTGATTCAGGCCATGGTCTTCGCAATCACTTGTTATGCATCAGAGAGTTGGACAATGACCAAGGAGGATAGAAGGAGAATTGATGCCTTTGAGCTGTGGTGCTGGAGAAGAGTATTGAGAGTACCATGGACTGCTAGGAAAACAAACAGATTCATCCTGGAAAGGGTTAAACCGGGCGGCTCCTTGGAGGCAAGGATTCTGAGGCTCCGTCTAACATACTTTGACTGGGATAATTGGGATGTCAGAGACAGTGCGATTGGCACAGGACAGAGCAGAGTTTAGGGCTGTTGTACATAGGGTCGCTGTGAGTCACAGCCAACTCAGCGGCACATAACAACAACAAAACAAATGATGAGAATGGCATAGGATAGGACAGGGCTCAGATCCATTGTTTGTAGTGTTTCTGTGAATGATAGTTCACTTGGTGGTACATAACAACGAGGTGGGATAACTGTGGCTACATAATATGCTTTTGTCTGACATGAAGAAGGCATAACTAATGTGCAGGGATAGAATTTATAAAATGGGTGGCATAGCCTCAGTAATAAGGTGGTATATGCATACTTTTCCTATACTCCCTTGATTTTACATTTCCTAGAAGAATTTTTAAAAAATTACACAGTAAAAACTATAATTTTGTAATTATCACATACAGCATTTTATTATTGGTAATAGTTATATTATTAATATTCTTTTCTGTTTCTCTTGGTCAGATTTCAAGTGATACATTTGTTGTTTTTATTTCATTTATTTACAGGTGACCATTAAAGGATTTGACCCTTTAATTCAATTTGCCTACACTGCAAAGCTAATTTTAAGTAAGGCCAATGTGGATGAAGTATGCAAGTGTGTGGAATTTCTAGGTGTACATAATATTGAGGAATCCTGCTTTCAGTTTTTCAAATTTAAGTGTTCAGACTCCACTGCAGACCAGCAAGAATGCCCAAGAAAAAAATGTTTTACATCACATTGTCAGAAAACAGACCTTAAATTTTCGCTTTTGGACCAGAAGGATCTAGAGAGTGAGGTGGAAGAATTTCTAGAAAATGAGAATGTTCAGACTCCTCAGTGTAAACTCAGCAGGTATCCTGGAAATGCAAAGGCATCACCTCCTTTACAGGATAGTGCCAGTCAAACATGTGTGTCCATGTGCTTAGCAAAGGATGCCGCACTCACCTTGCCATCTTTATGCCCTAAATACAGAAAATTTCAAAAAGCATTTGGAACAGACAGAGTCCATAGTGTGGATTCCAGTGTCAAAGACACTCAGGCTGCTTCTGCTCATCCAAATGATACACCTGAAAACAGCTGTCTGGGAGGAGTCCGGGATTCTGAAAATGTACAGGTGATTTTAAAATGTGAAGAAAATAAAATGCCAGTAGAAAGTGAAGAAACCAAGAAGAGAAACCCTGCCTCTGAGAGCCTAGCAGTCAAAGCAGAAGTGACCCCTTTTCCTCACAGTTCTTCCACAGAGCCCCATGGGCTCTACTCTCTGTCTCTTTTACACACCTATGACCAGTATGGTGACTTGAACTTTTCCAGTATGCAGAACGCAACAGTGTTAACAGAAAAGCCTTTGTCAGGTACAGATATCCAAGCAGAGAAAACGTTTGGTGGAAGTCAAGATTTGCAGTTGAAATCAGATTCTGGTCCCAGGGAAGAGAGTAGCCTTGTAAGTAGTGGTCGGAGTAGTGTGGAACGAGAGGTGGCAGAACACCTCGCAAAAGGCTTTTGGAGTGACGTTTGCAACACAGACTCTCCTTGCCAGATGCAGTTATCACCTACTGTGGCCAAAGATGTTACAGAACAGATCTACTCACAGAAGAGATTTGAGTGTCCCTGGCTAGGCATCAGAATCAGTGAGAGCCCAGAACCAGGTCAGAGGACTTTCACAACATTAAGGTCGGTCAACTGTCCTTTTATAAATACTTTAAGTACTGAAGGATGTTCGAGCAATTTGGAAATCGGAAACGATGATTATGTTCCAGAACCACAGCAGGAACCTTGCCCATATGCCTGTGTGATTAGCTTGGGAGACGACTCTGAAACCGATACAGAGGGAGACAGTGAATCTTTTTCAGCCAGAGAACAGGAATGTGAGGTGAGGGGAAAATAACTTGTTTGTCGTTTCAACCCTATTAATTAGGATTTCCTCTGTATCTGTTCCTTTTTATACCCCTTTTGTTGTTGTTGTTGTGTACCATCGAGTTGGGATCGAGCCATTGCTGATCCTCCAGTGGGTTTTCAGAAGCAGATTAATTGCACGAGAGGAGATTGCCCATCTTTCTCCCATGGAGTGGCTGGTGTATGTGAAACACGTGCCTTTGGAATTGCAGGGCAGTTCTTACCGCTAGGCCACCAGAGTTCCCTGTTCATACCCCTAGGGATATGAATAGGCTAGGGAAGGGGAAGAAGAACCTCCTACATTGTTAATGAGGAAATTGTCTAGTTAATGCCAGTATAGATAGTATAGGTAGGTACAGTGGAGTCGATTCTGACTCGTAACAACTCTGTGTATAGCAGAAACACTGTCTGGTTCTACCATCATCATGGTTGTTCTGTTTGAGTCCGTTGTTGCAACTAGTTAGTTAGTTGTCTTGTTGAGGGTCTTCATTTTTTTCACTGACCATTTCTGCTTTACCAAGCATATTAAGGTGGGTGTGTTTCTATTAACCATGGAGTGGAATCACATCTTTGTTGAAACGAGATGCCTTGTTCCATGAGGGAAAAAAGATTGTATCAGATTGATCAGAGGCTCAAGATAGTTACTGTGTAATGACTAATTTTAGGAATGTATCTCCTAATGGGAAGGTTTAAAACTTTCTCTTGCCAATTTCAAGGTTATATTAATGAATGTCTTAATAAAAATGAGTTAAATGTAGCTGGATATGATATTGTTACTGTTTGTGCTGTCAAGTTCCATTCTCCTCTCTCAAGGTCACCCATGTTTACAGAGTGGAATTGCTCCCCAGGGTTTTCTTGGCAGTGATCTAAAGCAAATCACTGGACTTTTCCTCCCTTACTACTTCTGGAAATGCTTTTTATTAGTAAATAAAATATCTATTTTGTAATTATTACAAATATATTTATCCATTTTCCCCTTTTCTTGTATTTATTTATCTTCTAGACAACTTTCAGATGAAGTATTTGTTGCTTTTAATGTGTATATGGTTGTATGCTGTTGAGTAGGAATAGGTTTGATTTCTGACCTTCTAGTGAGTTTTCAGAGACAGTGTTGAATGGGAGGAGAATACCCATCTTTCTCCCATAGAACACCTGGTGGATTTGAACCTCATCTTTGAATTAGACGTGCAGCTCCTTACCACTAGATCACCAGAGTTGCCTAGTGTGTAAATTAATAGGTGACGTGATTTGGACCTCTAAATCAGTATACCTACACAGCTAATTTTCAGTAAGGATTTGAACGTCTAACCTTTTAAGTTTATAGAAGTGCAGATCATTTGTGCCACCTAGGGGCCTTAATATGATACTACTCAAAATTTAATCTGTGTACAAGTTTGTTTTGTTTTATTGTAACACAAAACTGTAATTTCAATAATAAGGGTCTATTAGTTCAGATGACTAAGTGCTAGACAACTGACTGCATAGTTGGTGGTTCTAAACTATCCAGACAGAGGCACCTTGGAAGTTAGACCTGTCAGTTTGCTACTGAAAAGTTTAAGCCTTGAAAACCGTATGCAGCAGTTCTGCTCTGCATATTTGGGGTTACATGCGCTGAAATCGACTTAGTGACACCTGTTGTTGTTGTTGTGTGCCGTTGAATCACTTGCCACTCATCGTGACCCTCAGTACAACAGCTGTTAATCCTCCTCTATCTTGAGCAACTTCATTGTCTCTGACATACCTGCCCCCACTGCCCTAGTCACTGAGTCAATCTATCTCATCTGGGGTCCTCTTTTGAGCAGTGACAGCTACTAAAGCAAAATTCTTTGATATTTTCATAGCTTTTGAATATCATAGTTTTGAAAGGACATCTTCCTTCCTCCCTTTCCTGTCCCTGCTTTGGAGATTATAAAAAAGTGTTAAGATACAACATTTAAAAGTTTGAAAATGTTTTGTGCAATTGATTTCTGTAAGTTTGAATGACAAATTAACTCAGTTGTCAGATTGAAAAATGTTACATTTGCATTTTTTATTATTAATATAACTAAATGGTTGCACAACTTTGTTATTAAAGAATAATTGTGATCCCCTTTTTCCAAGTTGAAGTAGTTGAAAATGACTTTAAAATAATACGATGGTTTTTAAGCCTTTTTAAACATTGGCAAATGAATTAAAGCTTTTAAATAAATTATACAGTACTACCATTTTCCTGACAGAAAAGTGAATTTTCTGAATTGCTTTAGTAGTTACTGCAAGGAGAAAAAATTGGACATTCTCCTCTATGATGTATTGTTTCTGAAAACCTGCCGGAGGGTCTGTTCTGACTTGATGGTAAATAATAGTAACAGCAAAGAGTAATCCTATCAGTATTAAACCAGTTTGGAAAAACAGTACTATTAAAAAATAAAATTTTGTTATTTTTATTTGAACAAAATATATTAAAAACACTTTAGAAAGATATTTTTAAGAGATTTGTTGGGTATTAACATACTTACATAACTTAATTATTTTATATTTGTTAATATTTATTTGAATTAATAAAAAAGAAAATTTACTTTTTAATTTGTCCTATAATTCTTCTGTAATATAGACTAGAAATATAAACTATTAATTTTAAATAATTATATAAAAATTGGAATTACAGTTTTTGTGTCATCTTATATTTGTTTGCCTTTGTTTTGTCTTTAAGTCTAAATGAAAATCTAAGAAATCTACATTTATGTTCTCATCCTTCTGTATTTAAGTGTAGCAATAAAACATAGCAATTAATCACTAATGTATATTTCAAATTTTAGGTAAAACTGCCTTTTAATGAACAACGGATAATTTCACTCTCTCGGAATGATTTTCAGTCATTGTTGAAAATGCACAAGTTGACACCAGAGCAGTTGGATTGTATACACGATATTCGAAGAAGAAGCAAAAACAGAATTGCTGCGCAGCGCTGTCGCAAGAGGAAACTTGACTGTATACAGAATCTTGAATCAGAAATAGAGAAGCTGGTAAATACAGCAAGTTTCTTATTAGGATTTAAACTTCATGGGCCTCTTGCTTGTTTCTCCTTTCTTCCTCATTTGTCTCCCCTTTTCTGACTCCCTTTCTCCTTTTTTCTTTCCTTCTCTTTCTTGTCTTCTTTCCTTTTAATTTGTAAAACAAATGGCTGTTTACAGTCCCACGTCACCAATAATACTAATTTTACAGTGTACTAGTTCTCATTTAAGGACAATTTGAATTATGACATAGGGCATTTTCAGAAACCTTTTAAGGAATTATAATTATAAAAGAGAAATAAAATTCTGAGGGCTTTCGCAGGCTGTTTCATTTAAATAACCTTCTACCTGTTTAGCATGAGGTACTAGAATTATATAAATTGAAAACTATTTCTGAGTTGCTTTTATTTTTTTTTCCTTTACGATCATACAAATTAAAGACCGTTTGTAGGAGAGAAAAACGTGGCAATCTTCTCTTATAAATGATGACAGCCTAGGGAACCTTGTGGGGAAGTCTCTTCTGTAGGCTCATAGTGAGTCACATTTGACTCAGTGGCACATATTAATCTAACTTTTAGTGATTGGGTGCAAAGAAACGACAAAGCATTTTAATCTCTTCATGATATATTTGGTATCTATAAAAGCAAATGTTTCAGTTGATTTTTTTTTTAAAGAACTGGAGATAACTTGTTTAAGTTGATACTAAAACAAACCAAAAAACCCAGGCTTTCTTATTTAAGGAAAAAACTCATAAAGTGATATGAATAAATACCATGGACTACTAGGAAAACAAACAGATTTGTCCTGGAAAGGGTTAAACCGGGCGGCTCCTTGGAGGCAAGGATTCTGAGGCTCCGTCTAACATACTTTGGACATGTTGTGAGGAGAGACCGGTCCTTGGAGAGGGGCATCATGCTTGGGAGGGTGGAGGGACAGCGCAGGAGAGGAAGGCCCTCTATGAGGTGGATTGATTCAGTGACTGGGATAATTGGGATGGGAGTGTCAGAGACGGTGCGATTGGCACAGGACAGAGCAGAGTTTAGGGCTGTTGTACATAGGGTCGCTATGAGTCCTAGGCGACTCAACGGCACATAACAACAACAACAACAACAACAACATATTTTATGAAATCTAAATGAGGAGTCCTTGCTTATTGAGTCTTGTTTTTGGCTCTACAATTGATTATATAACTACTAAAAATGGATTAGCTTTCTTCTGTCTTTCTCTTTGTCCCTAGTGGTTGACAGAATTAGGGAGCCATCTAAAGCTAGATGGTTAGATCTGCAGCAAAAAGTGCCTTAAAACTAGTAGAAATATTATGTGATTATTCAGTTTTGTGTCTTTGTCATTGTTCTGAGTTTAAAATTGTGATTGTGTCAAGTCTTCAAGCATGAACATCCTATTAGTAATGGTTGTTCATCAGGGTTTTTTTTAAGATTTTATCTTTGTATGCCTTGTAAGAAAAGTTGAAAAATCAAAATGTATTATATATTGCATCTGCTCTAATTATATAAAAAAGATGAAGTTGTAAATATATGAAAACAATGAAGTGTAACTTCATGAAAAGAAAAAGGAGAAACCAGGTAGTCTATATATGTTGAAATGAGAGGTAAACCTATTTAGTCCCAGGGCTGTGAATGTCTGACCTACATGCACCCTTCATTTTAATATTATCTAAGTTTGCCTTCTGTTTGAAAAAATTAAATCAACCTCTCAAAAAACTTCACTGTGATGTAGTTAGAACCATTTCCATTAGGTTTTCGAGAGGCTGTGAATTGCATGGGGAAGGAAGTTCAAGTAGCCTAGAGGTAAGGAATTATATTGCATGTAGTTTGAACCCACCAGCAGCTCCTGGGAGAAAGGAAGAAAGATGGGTAGTCTCCTCCCATGCAGTTAACAGCCTCTAATAACCTGCTGGAGGGTCAGCTGTGCATCAATTTAAACTCAATGGCAGTGAAAAACAGCAAGTCTTCTAGGGAAAAGTTCCTTCTCTGGAGGAACTGCTGGTGCATTTGAACCACCAGAGAGGTGCTGTATTTAGGTTAGTAGTGCAACTCTCCACAGACTACATCAAACCAACCTTTACTTGAAACAGATTCTTCACAGTCACCCTGCCTTAGTGCACATGCACCTTTTAAGTTCTTGAAAAGGCTTCAAGCCCTTTCTTACACTAAACCTAATGTAGTCAAGTCAGTTCTAACTTATCACGACCCTTCATTGGGCTTCTTAGACTGTAAATCTTTACTGGAGGAGACTGCCCATATTTATCCCATGGAGCTGCTGGTGGATTTGAACCACTGACCTTTTTCTGGTAGCCCTCTACATTAAAACCAACGATTGAAGACCGGACAGATAGATGTGAGATCACATCAAGGATATCATCCATCATGAGAGTAAAAAGTCACTACAGAGACAGAGGAGAAAGAGGAAAAAAAACAAACCAAAATAGATGTCACAAGAGACTATGAAAATTTCACTAGAGTGTTGAGAAGCCAAAACAAAGGGAAGAGATGTTGCAGTAGAAGAGTTGAACAGGCGATTTTAAAGGGTAGCTTGAGAATACAAAAGACAAGTATTATGAGAGTCTGTGCAGAGACCTAGAATTGGAGAATAAAAAGAGCAGAATTCATATGACAGTCTCAAGCTAAAATAACTGAAAAACAAATTCAAGCCTTGAGTTGTAATACTTAAAGATACTGTGGGCAAAATCTTGAATGATCCAGGAAGCATCAAAAGAAGATGGAGGGAATACACAGAATCACTTTACCAAAAAGAATTGGCTAACACTGAAATATTTTAGGAAGTACCATACTACCAAGAGCCATTAATATCACATGCAAGCAAGATTCTGCTGAAAATTATTTAAAAACGACTGGAGCAACATGTCAACAGAGAACTGCCAGATGTGCAGGCTGGGTTTAGAAGAGGTCGTGGTACTAGGGATATTATTGCGAATGTTAGATGGATCTTGGCAGAGAGTACCAGAAGAATGGCTATCTGTGCTTCATTAACTATGCAAAGGCTTTTTTGACTGTGTGGATCACAACAAGCTGTGGCTGACTCTGAGAAGAATGGGAATCCCAGAACATTTGATTGGGCTTATACAAAACCTATACTTGGACCAAGAAGCACTCATCAGAACAGAGCAAGGAGACACACTGCATGGTTCAGAATTGAGAAGGAGGTCCACCAGGGATGTATTCTGTGTCTGTACCTTTTCAATTTGAATGTAGAACAGGTCATCTGGGCTGCTGGGATATATGAGGAGGAGTGTGGTGACAGGATTGGTTGAAGATTCATCAACAGCCTGCGTTATGCATATGACACAACCCTGCTTGCTGAAACTGAAGAGGACCTGAAAGGCTTGCTACAAAAGGTCAAGGACTGCAGCCTTCAATATGGATTGAAGCTCAACATCAAGAAAACAAAGATTCTCACCACTGGGCCATTTGGCAGCATCAGTATGGATGGTGAAGAGATTGAGATAGTTAACAGTTTTAGTTTGCTTGGCTCCACAGTCAACACTCTTGGCACCAGCAGCCAGGTAATCAAGAGACAAATTGCATTGGGAAAGTCAGCTGTCAGGGACCTCTCCAAAGTATTGAAGAGCAATGACGTCAGGCTGGAGACTAAAGTGCGCCTGATCTGGGCCATAGTCTTCACAGTTGTGTGCTATGCATCAGAGAGCTGGACAGTGACTAGGGATGATAGAAAGAGAATTGATGCCTTTGAGCTGTAGTGCTGGAGAAAAGTGTTGAATATACCATGGACTGCTAGGAGAACAAATAGATTTGTTCTGGAGAGGATGAAGCCGGACTGCTCCTTGGAGGCAAGGATTCTGAAGCTTCGTCTGACATACTTTGGGCATGTTGCAAGGGGGAACCAGTTCTTGGAGAGGGAAATCATGTTTGGGAGAGTAGAGGGACAGCACAAGAGAGGAAGACCCTTGATGAGAAGGATCAATTCAGTGCTTGGGGTAGTGGGAGGAGATGTGTTGGAGACAGTGTGGTTGGCACAGGATAGAATGGCGTTTAGGGCTGTTGTACATAGGGTTTCTGTGAGTTACAAGCAACTCGATGGCACATAAAAACAAGAACAACAACAAGAACAGTGGTTATGAAATAACTTCGAACTGCACTAAAGGTAATGACAAAAAATAAGGCCCTAGAATTGATTGGATACCAATTGCTCTGTTTCAAATGACCTGGATGTGTTCACTATTTTATTCCAGGAAATTTGAAGGACAGCTGCCTGGTTGATGACCTGGAAGAGATCTTTCTCATTCCTAAGAAAGGTGATCTAACAAAATGTGGAAATTGTTGAACGTTATCATTTGTATAACATGCAAGAAAAATACTGCTGAACACCATTCAAAACAATGAGCACAGTATATAGAGAACTGCCAGAAGTTCAAGCTGGATTTTGAAGAGGCTTTGTCACCAGGGATATCATTGTCGAGGCTAGATGAATACTGGCTGAAAGCAGAGAATACTAGAAGAATGTCTGTTTGTTTTTTATTGACTATGCAGAGGCAGTTTACTCTGTGGATCATAACAAATTATGGCTAACATTAAGAATAATGGGAGTTCTAGAACACTTAATAGTGCTCATGGGAAACCTATGCCTAGACCAAGAGACTCTTGGGAGAACAGAGTAAGAGAACATTGGATCTTTTAGAAATTTTGGCTCAGGGATGTATCCGTTCTCCATACGTATACAATCTGTATACTGAGCAAATTATTTGAGAAACTGGACTCTGTGAAAAAGAATGTGTCATCAGGGTTGGAGGAAGATTCATCAATACTTTTATGCAGATGACCCAACCTTTCTTACTAAACATGAGGAGGACTTGAAGCAGTTGCTGCAGAGGATCAAACACTACAGTCTTCAATATGGATTCCATCTCAAGTTTAAGAAAAACAAAAATTCTCACCACTGAGTAAGCAAATATCATGATAGATGGAGAAAGGATTGCAATTGTCAATGACTTCATCTTACTTGGATCCATAGTC